TAGGTCCATCACAATAGGCTCCTTCTTCACAGGTCTCATTGAAGCAGCAGAATCCTTCAAATTACTCATCTTTGTTTCAATCACAAAACAAGCACTTAACAAACAAACAAAAACGTAAATAATCAGATTCCTATAAAATTGACATAGCTCTTAACTTGAATTCATGGCAGATTCCGGGGGAAAAAAAAACAAAGATTTTTTTTTTGTTTGAGTATTCCAAAAAAACAAATCAAAAGAGCACCAAAAGGGCACATGCAAGAGTAAAAATTTAGAACCGAGAAGAAGAAACGAGAAGTAGAGTAGAATGGATCACTTACAGAATTTCTCAGTATGCGAATCAGAGAGAGAGAGAGAGGTCAATTTCCGGTTAGGTAGAAGATAACAAATTTGGAGAAAGAAGAAACCCAAATTTTAATGGCGAGAAAAAGGAATTAAATTGTTACATCGAAGGTCTCGCCATGGCTCCCACTCCCAACACAGTCTAGAGAGTGATTAAAGCGCCAAATCAAGAAGAGGACTGTTCCACTTCTGTCTCTTGTCAGTATATTATTAATTAACACTTAAAAATAATTAATTTTCATATCGGGCTGAAATAAAGCTTAAGGCCCAAAAATGTGTATATTGGGCTCAGATTTGGTTCTTCTATTTTTTTCGGAATTAAGAAAACATTCCATGAATAAAATATAATGTAATAACGATGGAATTGGTAATGAAACGGTATCCACATGTATTATCGTTTTTTCTTTTCGACGGACAAAATCAATTGGAAAATATCAATGGGCATGATAATGTGGCCGGTGATAAATATCTAAGAAATATGGACCATCTTGGTTAATGCCAACGGAAACTCAAGAACATTACCGAACATTCTATGTGTCAGAGTCTTGACTCTTGTGGGTACTAGATTCATACCCACGTATTGCGTGAGATTTTAATTCTAAACGGCTAACAATACAAATAATTGTATATAAATATTTTTATTTTAGCTTTAAACTATAAATTTATAGACATAAATTTTATCAAGCAATATACAACATAAATATTGTTAGAATATTTTTTTTCATTGAAAATTAATGAATCGTTTACTGACACGTAGTAACAAAAGTCAGATGTGAACCTCACGAAAAAAAAAACAATTTTCGTGATAATCTCATGACTCTTTTGGAGAGAGTATTTACACTAAA